TGTCAAACACAGGGCCCGCGGGCCAAATCTGTCCCGCCAGGCCTTGCAATGTGGCCCGCACTGCACTGTCATCACTGCACTCCGCTGCGTTTCCATCACAATGACAGTTTATGACTGTTCAGTAAACCATTCGGCCTGCGATTTAGGCTGGATTTTAGATTTTGGCCCCTTCTCTGATTGAGTTCGACACCCCTACTCTATCCACTGAGCCAAACCAGTTTTGGCGAGAATTGGGACTTTTTAAAAACACTGCGGGACTGTCCCGCCAAAAGCGGGACGATCTGGTCACCTTACTCTAAGGTGCCCCCACGGCCCCTGGCTCCAGCTGTCCCCACCTTTAGGATGGACGGCACCTGGGCCCAGGCTGTAACCTCCCGCCCTCCCACAGTGACATTGCGTGTGCAGGGCCCCACCTGTTAGCAGACGGGCCCTGCGTTCCCTCCGCGCTGCTTGATGAATTCAGTGGCCGCTCGAGAAACCCGTGTGGAAGGCTTGGCATGCAGCCTGGGAGCCGAGGGCAGCCCACAGCCAGCAGGAGGGCGGCCTCGGGCCTGGGGCCGCCCGTAGTGAGCTCCGGCCGGCAGCCTGCGCAAGCGTGGAAGCAGGGTCTCCCAGGCAGCCCAGCCAGCGGTTTGCAGCCTGTGTGACCCCGAGGCAGGATGCGGACCTCGCCAGGGCCTGGCCTCCCTGCGTCCCCCCTCTCCCCCCATCAGTGTTGCACCCTGAGAGCAGGTGGGAGTCCCTCCCTGGAGCCCTCTGCCTGGCACCAGCTGGCAGAGCACACAGGCCCAGTGGGTGGCCCAGAAGCCCACCTGCTGGTTCTGCAGGGGGGAGGAGGGCAGCATGAGGTGGGGCTGTACCAACTCAGAGTCCAGAGGCCGAGGCTGAGTGGCCCTGGGGGAGATGGCCTCCAGCCCTGCAACTGGTCATGCAGCCCTGCTAAGCCTCGGTTTCCTCAAATGTGAAAGGGGACCCCCTGCTTGGACCGGGAGGCGTGGAGACAGTGAATCCTGCTGGCCCAGCACAGGGATGTCACGGAGAAGGCTCGCCATTCCGACTAAGCATCCCGCGCAGACCTCACTTCACTTCTTGGAGTGGAATGAGCGGCTGGATCCCTGTTCCCTGCCCTCCCTTCCCCTCCTGAGGATGGGGTGCAGGAGGAGGAAGCGAGCAGGAACCTGGGGGGGGGGGGAGGGGGGCGGAGAGAGGCCAAGCCCGTGCCCTGCAGGCCCAGCAGGAGCTCGTGGCTGGAACCAGGGCCAGGCTCGGGGGCAGAGACGGCGGCCGGGTCGCAGGAGGACAGGGCCGGGTTAATGAAGTATGGATTGACTGGCCCGGGAGCTGATTAGCTCTGGCACGGGGCTTTTCCTGGGCAGAGGCGGCAGAATCAATACTAATCCCTTGGTCCGGGGAGGAGTCCCTGCAGGTCTCCGGGACAAACCCGGGCTTCCCTTCTCCCGGGGAACTGTCTGCAGCTGGAGCTGGGGCCTTGACTCCGTCCCGCATCTCCTTTTAAGACGTCCTCTCCTTCTGCCGCCTGTTGCCACCTCCCTGACCCCATGCCCAGAAGGCTGGCGCCTGGCCCAGCCCCTTCCCCATCCTCACCCCTTCTGGGCTGATCAGTGGAGCCACGGGCTTGGCTTGCACTTGCGTGAGGAGGCTTCAGCGTCTGTCCCGTCCACCCCCAGATGCCGGCTCTCAGAGGGAGACCAGCGTTCCTCCTTCACACGCACAGCGGAAGCTCCCCTAACCAGGCTCCCCAGACCCCTTGACTTCTGCAGCTCACAAACCCGGTCCATTTCATCTGCCAAGGCCTCCAGCAGGTGTCGGGACTCCTGTCATGCTGCCTCTCACCTCTAGGGGCCGCCCCTGCTCACACCTGCTGAGTCACAGGCTGGCCTGGATGGAGTCTGAGGGTCCCTAAGGTTAATTCTCAGCCTGTTTTTAAAGGCCTGGCTTGCGGTCCTCACCGCGGAATAGTATGAAACCACGAAACACGGGCTGGAAAGAGAGACATACGCTGTATCTGTGAAAACGGAGTTGAGTGTTCTCAAAAGACTCCATAAAGCGAGTCTGGAAAAAGGATTCTCATAAATAGGTGGGAAACGTCGTAAAAATGCTCAAGGATAGCGCACGCAGATGGCAGGCACACCAAGTGTCCTTCAGGTCCTGGGTCACTTCAATGAAATCAACAAAGAGGTCGAAGGGTGCACAGGGGTGGGGGGTGGGGGCGGGATGGGGTATGGCCAGGAACACCCAGAACTCCCCCCCCACCACCCCGCCAGATCCAACACCCTCCGGAGTGCTGAGAGCGGCCGGCACGGAGGGGGGAGGATTCCAGGGAAAATGACCTCGTGTTGTGCAGGAAATTCCTGCCTCTCTAAAGGCTGCGTAAGCTGAAGCAAGCATCACACAGTGCGTCGTTTGGAGGGACTCTTCGCTGTACAGCGGACTCCTTCCACCACCTCACCACTGCTCCCAGCGTGCTTGGTAGCAGGGCTCTATCATGGCAGAGACACGTGTCTGGATGGTTTCGGAGCCTGCTTGTAGCTGATCTTCTCTCTCTCTCTTTCTCTCTCTCTCTTTCTCTCTCTCTCTCTCTCTCTCTCTCTCTCTCTCTCACACACACACACACACACACACACACACGCCTGAATACATGTGCAAAAGGCCCAGGTCTACATGGGTGCAGCCTGCAGGGCTGAGCCTGCGGCCACAGGCGAGCTGCTGCCCTTCCTCCAGGCCCGGGGAGGAGGAGGCTGTGGGGGCCTAGGCATCCTCACAGCCTCATCTCAGAGCTGAGGTCTGGGTAGGTGCAGCCTCCCCCCTCCCCCAGGCCCTCCCACAGTCCCCCTCCCCCTCCCCTGTCTCCAGCTCCCCTCAGGTCACACCTCCACGAGCCCCCACAGCGCTAGGCTCCCCCAGGACCTACCCCCCACACCACCACCACCACCACCAGGCTCTGGCCCCAGGCCCCATCTCCCACAAACTCACCCCCACTGGCCAGCTGGCTTTCTCTGAGACTGACCGACCAGGGCTCTGGCTGTTCTGCTGAATAACCACCTGGTAATTAGCTCCGCGATTCTGCTACGATGCTTATAATCGCCTCCATTAAAGTTATGGGATTTTTCAGGCCGTAATGGCTTCCAGGGTAATTAATGCACAACTGGGTTTATTGCTAAGTTTATTTTTAGAGTTTTTCTCCCTCGCCCCCCCCCCCCCGCCTTTCCTTTTATGATGTCTTGACCAGAAAGACAAAATGGGACAGAACTGTCTCTCCACAGCCCCTGCATCTTTGCCTTCCCCTGACCCCCCTCCCAGCTTCTGGAAGGTGCTGGGACAGCAGCCGGGCCGGCTCTCCTAGGGGAGGGGGGTTGCTCTGTGACAGGACTCATCCCATCTATGCCTGAACAGGTTTGGGGGCTCTGGGGCCTGGAAGCTGCCTCCCCATGCCCCTGGTTGCAGGAGACCAAAGGGCCTGGGTTTACGTCTGGCTGCACCCGGTCCTGGCTGTGGCCTTGGGCAAGCCACGTGAAATAGCGGTAAGGACAACGCGTGGCATCCGGGGTTGTTGTAATACACTGAACACGAACCGCTGAGCGTCACCTTCCGACACCCCATCAGTGGTTCTCAACCTTACTAATGCCTCGACCCTTTCATACAGCTCCTCATGTTGTGGTGACCCCCAACCATAACATGATTTTCGTTGCTACTTCATAACTGTAATTTTGCTGCTCTTAAGAATCGTAATGTAGCCAAAACCGCTTTGGCTCAGTGGATAGAGCATCAGCTTGCGGACTGAAAGGTCCCGGGTTCGATTCCGGTCAAGGGCATGTACCTTGGTTGTGGGCACATCCCCAGCATGGGGTGTGCAAGAGGCAGCTGATTGATGATTCTCTCTCATTGATGCTTGTAACTCTCTATCCCTCTCTTTTCCTCTCTGTAAAAAAAACAAACAAAAACAAAACATATATATATATATATATATATATATGAATCGTAATGTAAATATCTGTGTTTTCCGGTGGTCTTAGGCTCTACAGCAGCGGTTCTTAACCTGTGGGCCTCGAGGAACTGCATTAAAGGGTCAGGGCATTAGAAAGGTTGAGAACCACTGCCCTAGGTGCTATCTCACAGCTATTGTTGTGAACAACAGCCCAGAAGACCAGATGATAGGGGGGCTGAGGGAGTGCCAGAGGCAGAGGCGTGGGATAAAGACGCTGCCCACAGGACGCGTGAGGGCGGCCACGTGAGCGCCACAGTAGCTGGGCGTGCACGCCGAATGGCACACAGCTCGCTGTGCCTGGCCTTCTCCGCCCAGCACCTGGGACCCTCCCCGAGATAAAGGGCATTTGACAAAGCTCCACTGGAGACAGGGAGGACCCAGAGGCAACCTCCCAGCCAGGCCTTTTAGAAGCCCCCTTGCCGTCCACCAAACGGCCCGAGCTCAGCCAGCCGCACGGAGACCTCCATCGGCCCATGTGCAGCCCCGTCAGTGGTCTTGGAGTTGGGGATCGGGGCTAGGGGTGTGGTGTAAGGTCACCCCCTTTCATTACATCCCAGAGCTGCCACCCTTTATCCAGCCTCTCAAGAAACCACCTGGGCCCAAACAGGTGGCCAGTACCATCGTAGACTCAGTATGTACACGCCAGCGCCATCCTCAGGGCTGCAGGGGCGCCGACTTGCTTTGCTCTCAGAACCACCTTGTAAAGTATGTACCGACGGTACCCACCCATTTCACAGATGAGAAGACTGTGGCACGGACCGTTGCCGTACCTTCGCAAAGGAACCACAGCTTGTCGGTGGCAGGGTTCAGTGTTTAAAAACCAATGCAGGCGTGTCTGACGTCTGTGCCCTCACCCTCTGCCTCCCTGCCGAGCACCTGGGAGAAGGCAGTCCAGACTCCACGTGACAAGCCAGAGCCGGGCCTGGCCCTCCCGGAGGCCGCCCCCACCCCCCTGCCCAGGTCTCTGGCCATCCTCTTCTGCTCTCTCTTGCAGGGATGCGCCTGACAGGGTTCCTGACTGCGCCCTGAGCCGCCACCACCCCTTCTGACACTCCAGCCGCGCCGGACCCCGCAAACCTGCTTCCGCAATGGGTGGGTTGTGAGCGCTGGTAAGACCCGCTAGCCAGCACCGGCTTCTCTGCTGTCCCCGTCCCTGGCCTGTCCGTCCCATTTTTGTTCTCTTCTCCCCTGTGCTCATCCCTGGCACCGCCGTCCTCCTCTCCGGACCTTGTTGCCGCCGCGCAGGTAATGAGGAGCTGTGGGCCCAGCCAGCCTTGGAGATGCCGAAGAGAAGGGACATCCTTGCCATCATCCTCATCGTGCTGCCCTGGACGCTGCTGGTCACCGTGTGGCACCAGAGCACCATCGCCCCCCTGCTCACCGCGCACAAGGGTGAGCCCCCAGCCCGGCCAGGCCGGCTGCACCCACATAGCCACAGGGAGTCCAGGTTCCCTCTGCTGGGTGGGGAGTCAGGACTAGGAAAGTGAGACCCAGGCAGTGCCAGGCAGGGGTCTGATGGCATTCCTGGGAGCAGAGGGTAGGTCTGACCAGGCAGAGGGGCGCCTCCCGCCCATGCCCGAGGCCAGGGCCTGCTCTGCCCCCCACACTGCCTATCTCTTCCCCCCCACCCATCTCCCATTCCCGCAGATGATCGCGGTGACCCCCGGCGCCCCGCCCCGCCCGGTGCGGACCCCAGAGAATACTGCATGTCCGACCGCGACATCGTGGAGGTGGTGCGCACCGAGTACGTGTACACGCGGCCGCCGCCCTGGTCCGACACGCTGCCCACCATCCACGTGGTGACGCCCACCTACAGCCGCCCGGTGCAGAAGGCCGAGCTCACGCGCCTGGCCAACACGCTGCTGCACGTGCCCAACCTGCACTGGCTGCTGGTGGAGGACGCGCCGCGCCGCACGCCGCTGGCCACGCGCCTGCTGCGCGACTCCGGCCTCAACTACACGCACCTGCACGTGGAGACGCCCCGCAACTACAAGCTGCGCGGCGACGCCCGCGACCCGCGCATCCCGCGCGGCACCATGCAGCGCAACCTGGCCCTGCGCTGGCTGCGGGAGACCTTCCCGCGCAACGCCAGCCAGCCCGGCGTGGTGTACTTCGCGGACGACGACAACACCTACAGCCTGGAGCTCTTCGAGGAGGTGCCGGTCACCCCACGGGGCGCGGGGCGGAGCTTGAGGGCTCGGGGCGGGGCTGGAGGGTGTGGGCGGGGCTTGAGGATGCAGGGGCGGGAAATGAGGATGCTCCCCAGGAGACCCTTTGGGTAGGGATGCACAGAGAGGTCACAGGCGGGGCCAGGCTGGAGTCAGTGCAGCCTGCAGGGGCCAGATAAGGGACTGATAGCTGGCCGTGGCCTCAGGGGTCCTATGGTTAAAGGGGGTGGCCGTGGCCTCAGGGGTCCCCTGGTTAGAGGGGGCGGCTGTGGTCAGGGGTCACCTGGTTAAAGGGGGTGGCTGTGGCCTCAGGGGTCCCCTAAAGGGGGTGGCCATGGCCTCAGGGATCCCGTGGTTAGAGGGGGCAGCTGTGGTCAGGGGTCCCCTGGTTAAAGGGGGCGGATGCTTGGAGCTGAAGGACCACAGCCCTGCCTCAGCGGCTGGCCTGCATGAGGAGGGGGCCAGTGTCATGTCCTGGGGGTTTGTGAGTCACAGTAGTTTGGGGGAGGCGAGAGGAGGGTCCCACTCTAAATTGGAAAGAGAGGTTTTTGGTTTTTTTCACAAGAAAGTGGCAGCAGGTGCGTGGAGAGAAGGGGGGATCGGCTGGTGAGAGAGGCCAGGTTCCTCCGTAGGTGCCCGCCTCAGGGGCACGTCTGGGGCCCGGCCGGCCTGAGCCCGGACGGACGTGGCTTCCGATGGCCCGTGAGCCCAGCGTGCACGGCGGAGGTCGCCTCCCGTGGGGACGGGCTTGGCTCGGGGCCTGACTCCGCGTCCCCTGCAGATGCGCAGCACCAGGAGGGTGTCCGTGTGGCCCGTGGCCTTCGTCGGGGGCCTCCGGTATGAGGCCCCGCGGGTGAACGCGGCCGGGAAGGTGGTCGGCTGGAAGACGGTGTTCGACCCCCACCGGCCCTTCGCCATCGACATGGCGGGGTTCGCCGTCAACCTGCGGCTCATCCTGCAGCGGAGCCAGGCCTACTTCAAGCTGCGCGGCGTGAAGGGGGGCTACCAGGAGAGCAGCCTGCTCCGCGAGCTCGTCACCCTCAGCGACCTGGAGCCCAAGGCCGCCAACTGCACCAAGGTGAGGCCTGGGGGAGCGGACGGCCGGGGTGTGGGCGTCCCCACGCCTGGCCAAACCCTCCCTGGGAGTCAGGGGTGGGAAGAAAGGCCTGGACACAGCCTTGCAAAGAAGAGCCAGCCTAGAGCTGTGCCTTCTGAAAACACCTGGCCCGGAAGGAAGGTTGTCACGCATGCAGCAGCCACACTGAAGTCACGCAGGGAAATTGGGGGGAGGAGGGAACCAGTGAGGCAGAGCCAAGGACACAGTCCCCTCCCGCACCTCAAAAGAGTTGAGCTTCACGGCCTCCCTGCAATTACATGTTCATGTGTGCACACACATGGACAAATGCATGTGTGTAGGCACATGCATACACACACACACTTCCTAGTTTGAGCTTCTCCAGCACAGGCCTGGTCTGCCAGCTGGCTGAGCTGAAGGCTCCAAAACCACTTCCTGCCTCTCTCGACCACGAACCCAGCCATTAAGAAATGCAGGGAGCCGAAACCGGTTTGGCTCAGTGGTAGAGCGTTGGTGTGCGGACTGAAAGGTCCCGGGTTCGATTCCGATCAAGGGCATGTACATTGCTTGCAGGCACATCCCCTGTAGGGGATGTGCAAGAGGCAACTGGTCGGTGTTTCTCTCTCATCGATGTTTCTAGCTCTCTATCTCTCTCCCTTCCTCTCTGTAAAAGATCAATAAAATATATATTTTTAAAAAATGCAGGGAGCCCTGGGCTGTGTGGCTCAGTGGGTTGACGGTCATCCCGTGCTCTGAAAGGTCACCGGTTTGATTCCTGGTCCGGGCACATGCCCAGGTTGCAGCTCAGTCCCTGGTCAGGGTGCATGCCGATCGGTGTTTCTCTCTAAAATCAATAAAGACGTTATATTAAAAAAAAAAAAAAAAAAAGGTAATGCAGGAGAGAATGAGAAGCAAGAGGAAGAGAGGAATCCTCAGATTCACCTTTTCTGGAGTTGAGCACTTTCTGTCCCCCCGCTGCTATTTTGAATGCACCCTGTGTGTACACACAGCAAGAGTGGGGGCGTCCGCAGAAAGGAAGAACATTGGGGAACATCCTGATGGGACAAGGGCAGGACAGGAGGGCGGGGGCGATACTTGAGGGTCCGGGCGGGAGCAGGAGGGGGCAGGGAGAAGCCAGAGGCCTGTCCCACGGCGTCTCCCGTCTCTGCACCCGCAGATCCTGGTCTGGCACACACGGACCGAGAAGCCCGTGCTGGTGAACGAGGGCAAAAAGGGCTTCACTGACCCCGCGGTGGAGATCTGAGCCCCGGGACACAGGTACATCTGTAAAGAGGGTGGTTGAGGGGACACCAAGAACAGCGGGGCACGGCTCGGGCCCACACCCAGTGCGGACACAGGATCAGTCTGCCGAGACTTCCTCTTAGTCTGCCATCGTGGGAGGAAAGGGAAATGCCAGCGTGAGGAGGAGAGGCATAGCTGACGTCCCCTTGCCTTTTCCTTCTCTTCCCCTCCCTTTTCCTCTCTTCCTCCCCCTCACCCTGTCTGGAAATCAGCGGGAGCCAGCCTCTCCCCCACAGCTGGGCCCTCTTGCCATCCTTGGGGGGCCTCTCCATCCAGATGTGGCACGGTCACCACTGGCTATGACACCTGTCCCGTCGCAGGCAATGCCGTAGGCCGTGGATCCCTCTCCGCTCACGCCGCTGTGACGCGGGACCCTCCCTCACAGCCTCTCCCTCGCCACGCATGCCCGTGTGTCTCCCCGTCGTGACCGTGTGGGGTGCCGTGGTGAAACGGGGGGCCCAGGGCCCGGTTCAGCTCCGGGCCTGCCACTTGTACAGTGTGACGTCTTTCGCTCCGGGCTTCCGTTTCTCCATCTGTAAAGTGGGTGGTTGAGGGGACGCCAAGAACAGTATCTGGCACATGCTGCGTCCTCTATAGGTATTGCTATTGCTCTTTTCGATCTCTAACACCTTCTGTGGAAGGGGGCCACTGGGTCTGCCTACGTTTTAGAGGCAAAGGGATGGTGTAGAGCAGTGTTTCCCAAACTTTTGACATATGTGTCCCCCTTCTATAATTTTTGTAACGCTGAGTGCCCCTCGTACTCATGAGAACGCAGAATTAGGCGCAGCTAAGCATGATGCAGTGCATATCCCCACCAAACTCCGGTGCAACGCGTACCCCCACCAAACTCTTCCCGTACCCCTGGGGGGACGCGTACCACACTTTGGGAAACACTGGTGTAGAGGAAAAGCTCCAGGCGGCGAATCGGGCCGGGGGATTGGCCACACTGGGAACTCCCGGAGGTGGGAGCTGACAGCGGGCACAGCCGGACGCCAGCCTGGAGTTCAGGGTCAGTGTCTGGGTCCCCTGTGCATGTCCCCCGTGCCTCAGGGACCCCAGGGTGTCCGTCTGTTTTGTCCCCGAACTTAAATCATCACCTGGGCCAGAGCCCAGCTCCCCTGCCTCCGGCCGTCACGCCCCTCACAGCCAGGATGCCCCGGAGGACCTGGCCGCGGGGCCAGACGCCTCCTCCGAGAGGCCTGCTGGGGGCTGAGGTAGAAAAGTTTAAAACGCTGCGGGATGCGGGACAGATGGTTAAAAATTGGGACTGTCCCGCCAAAAGCTGGACGTCTGGTCACCTTAGGCCAGTGTTTCCCAAACTTCTCTCATGATGAGAATCACCCGGTGGAGTTGTTAAACTACAGATTCCTGAATCCCAACTAACAAGTGCTAAACTAGAATTTTGGGGGAACATATAGGTAAAATTGTGTACTTCACTTAGTGCTCTGCCTTAGATTAGTGTTATGCATTCTATTTTTATTTTCCCTTTAGCATTATTTTACCCTGTCTTAGAGCACTAAGTGAAGTACACAATTTTACCTATATGTTCCCCCAAAATTCTAGTTTAGCACTTCTTAGTTGGGATTCAGGAATCTGTAGTTTAACAACTCCACCGGGTGATCCTCATCATGAGAGAAGTTTGGGAAACTCTGCCTTAGGCTAAGAGCTGGGCAGCTCGGCCACACGGGCTGCTCGGACCCCCGCCTGACTCACCGGCCCTCCCCTCTTTGCAGGAGCCTCTTCTCACACCCGGATCCTGGCCTCCCGTCCTCTCCCCGCGGCCGACAGTGCTCCACGGCAAACTCTAACGGGATGGCCAGCAGCCTCCTTCCTCTCCCGGGGCTGCTTCCGTAAGCCCAGCCCGAGGCCGGGACGAAGGGCGGAGAGCCTAAAGCACAGAAATCCCAGACGTGTCGTTCTCTTCCACCCGGCGTGGCCAGGGCCCCGGCCCTCCTCCCCGGAGGCTCCCGCACCACAGGCCCGCAGGGCGGACGCGTGGGCTCATCCGCGTGGGCATCGGGAAAGATTTGGCAGTCGGTCACGTGGAGGTGGCCCTCCTGGCTCCCAGCTCCTGTGTCCAGAGGATTTGGAACACCAGACGGCAGGCCCTGCCCGGGCCCCAGGAGCGCCCGCCCCTCCTCGGAGAGCTGCTCCCAAGTCCACACGCCTCCGTGGCTTTCCTCGAGTCCCTGACTCCAGATCATACATCTGTCTTTGATGCCGGCAGCGGGCAGCCCTACGGGAGGGAGGAGCAGGCCTGCCCCCCGGCGCCCCCTGTGCTCCGGGCTGTGGTGGGAGAGGAGCCCCTTCCTCCGGTCCAGGCCCCTCAGCCCTGCTGCACAGAGAAGCAGGTGGGCCTCAGGCCAGCTCAGGCCACAGGCTGGCGTGGGCCACGACCACGTGGGCCCCTCCCCCGCGCTGCCACCCCCAGGCCCCCTGGGCACCAGGGCCCCTTGCCTGGGCCAGGACGGGGAGGGCAGGAGCCCTCTTCCTGAAGCCCTTGAGAGCCACAGACCTCAGTGAGCCAGGGACAGGGAAGGTGGGGGCAGTCCCAAGCCTCCTTCTTGCCCCTGGTTTGAGGGAGAGGGGGGCGGGGGCAGGAGGACTGCGTAGCAGAGGTATTTATGGACAAGGGACCGAGATCATTTGGACACCGAGGGGAACGGATACCCGAGCACACACAACGTTGGAAATAATTCTATTTTAAACACAACACGGGAAAAACATCTCCCTTCTCTCCAGGTGGGGAGTCTGCAGAGCGAGCCTGGCTAGAACAGTGCATGCGCCGGCGGCTCCCACCGCCAGGGGGCGTGTGTCCGGCTCTCGCGCCGCAGCCTGACAGGCAGGCCCCTGGCATTCTGGCTGGGGGACAGCGCCCTCTGGTGGCGATCTCACTCCTCATGCTCCTGACCGTCAGAAGCACAATTTTCCTCTCTCGTGGAGGAAAAGGAAAAGGCGTGAGCCTACGGAAGGGGTGTTTATTTTTTAACCGCTAACACTTCGTTTAAACTCACAGGACCGGTCTGAGGACCACAAAGAACCCACTTCTAGAGAAAGGGGGGGAAGTATGAGGAGGGTGGTGGGGATTGGACTTAGTCCGACAACCTAAACATTCAAAAAAAATAAAATAAAAAATAGCATTGGTTGCCTGTTTGGAAACGGATGGAATTCCCCACAGTAGTCATGAGCCCATCCAATGGGACCTTATCCCCTGAGCCACCTTGTAGGGCATCCCCCCAACTTCTTACGTATTCAATGGTGGCTTTGGAAATCGACCTCTCGCCATCACGTGGCGTGGCGTGGCCTGGCGTGGCCTGGCGTGGGAGAGGACGGACGAGGTGGGCGCAGGCGACCATCCCATGCGTTAGCCCAGGCCCCAGGCGTTCCACTGCCTCCCCAGCCCTGTGCTCAGGTGACCTGGGCTGGTCTCCGGCCACCTTCTCAGCCAAAAACCAACCAACCAACCAAAACACCAAAAACAAACAAACAAAAAACAAAACCCAGAAACATCCCAGGGCTCGCCTTCAGGAAATTGGTACTGAACAAAATGAGGCGTTTTCTCCTGCTCTCTCTCTCCTTTACTATTTTTTGGGAGGTGGGAGCTGTTCCTCTTGTAGCTGCATGTGGGTTTATCGGTCACTGTCGTCCTGGGGGCCTGCAGCTTTCTTCCTTGCCGGGGATGCGTTTGTGATCAATCAGAATGTGGTCCGGGATTATACCGTTTGTTTTCCAAACTTCCCACCGCAGAGGCGTGAAGCCGGGGGGGGGGGGGGGGGGGGCGAGGGAGGGGAGCTGGGCGTCCCCCACGGAGACGGAGGGTGGAGCCAGGGCAGACGCACCTTTGGGTCTGAGTTCATTAACTGTATTTCCTTTGTTTTTAAAATTAAAAGTCGGATACGGTTTTTAACATCCCTAACCCTCCTCGGCCCGGCTTTGTTGTATTCCCCTGGACGGCTCCAGTCACCGTCCGCCGAACGTGCACCTGTCGGGGGCCTACCATGAGCTGCGTTATTCCGGGGGCCAGCACCAGCCTTCACGGAGCTCCCCTTCTCGTGAGGGGGCACGGGTGGACAGCGAACAGACCCACAGCATTTCGGATGCCATCTGGTCTGAGGACCAGCATGGGGCTGGGTGGGGGAGTGGGTGGGGTCGCAGAGGGTCGCTGTGGGAAGACCTGAGCCCCACAATGGGTGGTCAGAGAGGCCCCCCGCCCGGGGAAGGTGACATCTGAGCAGAAGAGCAGCAGGCAGACGTGCCCGTGTCAGGCCAGAGCCTTCCAGAAAAGAGAACTCTGCCCCCGGCAGGAGAGAGCTTGGCTGTTTAAAAGCCAGCAACAAAGCCAACGCGACTGAGACTGACTGGGGAAGGTGGGAGGGGTCAGTGGTGGGAGACGGGACGGGCAGGACGTGGCGGCTGGTCCTGGGGACCAGGGTGACCTTTTTTGGCTTCTACTGTGAGTGGAGAGGGAAGTCGAGGGAGGGTTTGGAGCAGAAGACAGATGTGGCCTGACCGGCCTTTTAGAAGAACCACTCTGAATTCTGTGCTGACGGGAAGCAGGGAAGGTGAGGGCAGGTGGAGGGGAGGCAGTGCGGCCACCAGCCTGGTCCAGGCGCTGGGGAGCCGGAGGGAGGTGCCAGTTGTGGGGTGGAGAGCAGTTTGATTCTGGAGGTGACTGAGAGGGACAGCTGATCCAGGGAGAGAGCCGAGGGACCACCGCCAGCTCCCCATGGGACCACGTCACCCACAGGCACCATCTTGCTCGAGTCAAAGCACTCCCCTCCACACCCATCAGCCTGGGGCCGTGCTCGGCAAACTGCGGCTCGAGAGCCACATGCGGCTCTTTGGCCCCTGGAGTGTGGCTCTTCCACAAAACACCATGGCCTGGGCGAGTCTATGTTGAAGAAGTGGCGTTAGGAGAAGTTTAAAAAATTTGGCTCTCCAAAGAAATTTCAATCGTTGTCCTGTTGATATTTGGCTCTGTGGACGAATGAGTTTGCTGACCACTGGCCTAGGGGTACTCCACCTTCCCTTTCTCCATGGCTGCACCCTGCAGAGTGTGCTGGCCGTGCCGGCCTGAGCTCCTGGCACACACCTTCCTGGGAGGCTCTCAGGAGCCAGGCGGACTCAGGGGGGCAGAGGCGACAGCAGACACCGAGGTGCGTGACTCTCGGACCATTTTCCCTGGGAAACGCCCAGCCAGTGCCGAGCCCTCCCTCCACACAGCCCAGTCTGGGTCTGTTTCAGCCCGATGAACTCACCCTGATGATTCCCCCAAACCGCCCAACACCGAGGCCCGGAGGCCTTTCGGGGGAAGGGGAGAGGCTGGCCTTGGTGAACCTTGAGAATTCTGCCGAGGGACCTCAGACCCAGCACGGGTGCCAGGTTTGAATCTGTGTCGATCGGATGCACATTTCTCGCCCCTCCTGGGAGCCTACCTCACACAACGCACACGCCCCGAGAGGTCCTTCCTGCAACGGGGCCTCACTGGCAGCTGGCTGATGGGGTGCCTTGGGCCTTCTGCTGACCTGCCCCCCAGGCTCGGGGCTGGTGGAAGTCGACCATGGCACATGGCGTGGCCCCTCCCATGCACACCCAGGCCCAGCCAAGGCCCCCAGAAGCTGTGCGTGGCTCTAGCTCCACACAGGCGGCCCGTGGCCGGGTCCCAGGCGGAGTCTGACACGAATCCGCCATGCGGGCCCGGAACCCACACACCGGGGGGCGGGCTCCAGCCCACGTCAGAGCAGGACCAAACACGCCACGGGACAGCTCAGCAGGCACCGGACCCTGTTGGGAACCGACCATTGTCCCCGCGGGCAGAGCGGCGTGGACAAGGAACCTGGAAGGCTGGTTAACCTGGGCAGCTCTGAAAGGCCAGAGCCAGCCGCTCACTGCCTAACGGACACATTGGTAGCTGAAGCAACTTCCACCTGTCCATCTTATGGAAATCCTTGCTGATTGGCTATTATTGGAATTGCCTGCCTCTATGGGTGGATCCCAAAGTCTTAATAAAAGGGATAGCAAGGCTGAAACCGGTTTGGCTCAGTGGACAGAGCGCCGGCCTGCAGACTGAAGGGTTCCAGGTTTGATTCCAGTCAAGGGCATGTGCCTTGGTTGCGGGCACATCCCTGGTGGGGGGTGTGCAGGGGGCAGCTGATCGATGTTTCTCTCTCATCGATGTTTCTAGCTCTCTATCCCTCTCCCTTCCTTTCTGTAAAAAATCAATAAAATATATTTTTAAAAAAAGGGGGGGAGGGATAGCAAGGCCAGAGTGGGGTGTAGTCCTCCCCCTAGAGGTGGGCTCCCGCCTGGCCCCCAATATTCCCAAATTAATACTTTTCAAGACTCATTTGTGTGCGGCCTCCTCCAGAGCCCGAACCCTGAACCCGAACCCTGGACCATGCGGGATGTGAAGGGGGTTCCCACAGGACCCTGCAGGGGCGAACTCAGCACCGGCACAGCGGCTCACACACCGTGGCCGGGGTCAGCCCTCACCATCAGCCCCATTCGCAGACGGGCCAACAGAAACCAAGACAGACGGCAACCGGAGGGCCCACACAGCCCACACCAGGGACGTGCTGACGGCGAGCTCAGGGGATCTGGGGGACTGGGCCCTGGAGCCCCACACCACACCTGCAGCCTGAGGCAGCCTGACCGAGGCGTGTCTGGGAGCCCGAGAGGGAGCCTTCGGGAAGGGACTGGGAACTGGGCTGGAAGGGACAGGGGCCTGGCACTCACCCGCTGCCCACCGACACCAGAATGGATCCGTCCTGGGCTTCTCTCCCAGGGCCCCCCGACCACACTGGCATCTCGGAGGATGGAGGCCAGGAGGCAAGGAGTCAGCGCGGACGCCGAGTGCCCGGCTGCACGCTGCCTTTGCACCGACGGGGTCAGAGAGCCACCACCAAAGAGGGTTCAACGCGACTGCTTTATTGCAGCTCTGACAGCGAGCCGGTCCCCAGGACAAGAGGCTGCGTTCTGGACAGACAGACAACTGCCGGGAAGCCTGCCTCTCCTCCCTGCAGCTTCGTCACGGGAGGCGAGGGAGGAGGGAGACGGAGCCGGCGGCAAGGTCTGCGTGAGGCCTGCAGCCTCCCCATGTCCTGGAGCTGGGCCCTGGGCCTTCTGCCTTCGCCCCTGTGCCTCTGAGAGGGGTGTGGTTCCCGCTGGGACCCTCAGTTCCCCTCCACTCACTGAGTGAACCTGGAAAAGCTCCGTTCCAGGAGAACAAGGGGCCGAGATGTCTGTTTCTCTTCAGCCCGGCTTGCCATCCTGTCGGAGGCACTTAGAGCGGGACAGAAGCAAGAAAACGTGCATGTCTCTCAAATGGAGTTCCTTCCGGGACCCCAGGGAAGGCTCAGGGAGGGCTGTGAAGAAACAACAGTGGCCCTGGCTGGTGTGGCTCAGTGGATAGAATGTCGGCCTGTGGACTGGAGGAGCCCAGGTTCGGTTCCAGTCAAGGGCACATGCCCAGGTTGCAGGCTCAATCCCCAGTAGGGGGCGTGCAGGAGGCAGCTGGTCAATGATTCTCTCTCATCATTGATGTTTTTCTCTCTCTCCTGCTCCCTTCCTCTCTGAAAGCAATACATATATATTTTAAGAAAAAAAGAAACAAAGTCGGTTCTGGAGAGACACCTCTTCACTATCCTCTACAGATAGGGCCATGGGCTCTACTTGAGAAATAGACAGGGTCCCTGAGAGATGGGATGGGCCAGGCCAGGCCAGAACCTCCACCGGGCACAGCTGGGGGCAGCAGCCACGCCCGGCTGGTCAGGCCTTCCCCAGGCCCAGGCGTCACCAAACGGAGACCCAACCACTCTCACACAGGCACCCATCCCTCTGCCCCCTCCCAGGAAAGAGGGGGCAGACAGTGCCTTCCACAGAGCCCCGTCAGGAGCCCCCTTAGGTGAGTAGGGCTGCCCTCCCTCACCAGGCCCCCCCCCCCCACCTCTTCAGCAGATTCGGGGTCTTGAACCGCAGCAGTGGGCAGAGGTACTGCCCTCGGCTCCCTGAGGCTGCTCCCTGAGGAAATGCTCCCGATGAGCTCCCCCCCATGGGTCTGGGGGGCAGCCCATCAGGCCTCCAGGCAGCCGTGAGGATGGGCGCCCCCTGCTTCCCGATCGCTTGCTCAGTGAATGTACTGGTTCCTGCCCAGGTGGGGGGTGTCGGTGAACTGGATCACGGGGCCCGCCGCCTTCTCCTCGAAAACGATGACCTGGGGAGAGAGGCGCTGGGCTGACAGCTGCCGCGGTGTGTCTGGGAGCCGGAGAGGGAGCCTTAGGGAAGGCGCTGGGAACTGGGCTGGAAGGGACAGCACGGAGGAGGAGCCGAGAGGGAACCGGCCAGAACGCTGTCCCACTCCGGTCCTAACCGGCCCTAACAGACTGTGGCCAGGGCCTCCCTCCCGCCCTGGGGGAGCACTGTGATACCAGAAAGGCGGGAGGGGGAGGGGGCCTGGGCAGAAGGGACGGGGCTGCGAGTGCTCCCACCTGGTTGATG